TATATATATATATATATATATATAATTACAATGGTCTAAAATAAGTTAAGAGTCTGATTTCAGAAAAATATCATTGAATGATGCACTGTGTGGTTGCCAGTTTGTAGTTAAGCATTTGGATGGTAGAGAACTGATGGTAACTACTCGACCCAATGATATTTTGGAGCCAGGTCTGCTGTTTATTTATAGAGATAGATAGTTAAATTTGGTGTTTACTTTCGAGAAATTCTTCTGTGCATTTTGTCGCAGTATGGAATAGCAGCATTTGAGTTGTCGAAGGACGGTTAGGATTTCGGTTAGATGTTCACAAGATTCATTCGGTGTTTGCTTTGTCGGCCATACAGTCTGACTTCGCACAATAACATCCTTATTCATTCAAGCTTGAAATCTTATATAGAATCGAAATTAGAGGAGGTCTAATTAGCAAAACTATTTGACTCAAAAGTATTCTGGTGAGAATTATAATTGGTATACATTGGTCAGTGACGATATTTATAATGATATACAACCTCTCATAATGAGCGTCCAAGCACAAAATACGATTATGAACAAAACAGGCGTTATAAATGAAAACTTTTGAACAGATTGCATTCGTGGTATTCGTAACGAAGGGATGCCCATAGCGGACAGTCCGGGTGCTGGGGGTGTTCTGTTCATCAAATTCAAAATCGAATTTCCAGAAGATAATTTCTTAAAAGACGAAAATGACTATAAGGTTTTATTTTGTTTCAACATTATTTTAAAGTGACGATCATGGAGACTTCCTGAAGTTTAATTTTTCTGGAATCATTATTTGAATCAGATTATATTATTTGATTTTAGATGCTCATTCTTATACATTACTTTGCCTGTCTTTATTGGTTTCTTCCCAAAATTCTTCCCAAAATAACGCCATTTCATTATTCAGATTTCATCCATTTCCCTGAAGCACACATTTTTTCAGGATGAATCCGGTTTTTTTTCTTGCTTTTTTAGTGTTTAGAAACGCTGTTGGGCGGTCGCCCACAAACAGGTCCGTTACCGGAAGGCGAAAACGTGGAAGAAGTTTCTCTGATGTCTTACGAAGAGCGCCGTTATGAAAAAAGAGGTCGTAGTGGTCCAGGTGAAGTGTATCAAGATGATGTTGATGAAGAAGATGAAGAAATGGGCAGTGGTGGTACACACAATGTCCAGTGCGCCCAGTCATAGTTCTCACGATCTAGTGATTTAAAAAAATACTGGAGAATTCATCCTGCAAACTGCGATGTATCCTGGGTTTTCACATTAAAAAAATTTTATGGATTGACTGTTCGTGGCATAAATTCTGTTGAAATCTCTGTACTTTTTTTCTGGAAATCAATTGCTTTTTATTTGTTCCTGTACGACATATTATATAACTGGGTAGCACCTTGCGGTAATTTTATCTTTTTCTGATGTCGATCAGCCGTCATGCTGCTTATAGATATTTTTGAGGAGACTTTTGATAAGCTCTTTTATTTGTAAGCTTTTTTCTATTTCTGGACATAAAGTTGGTGTATTGAAATAAAGGACCGTCGGTTCATTTTCAGGATTAACCTGAAGTAAGAGGTGGGTTACAGAGCAGAAGGAGAAATTGAAGCAGTGAAAAAGCGGAAGAGAACTGGAAAGGATTTTTTAATTTGAGATCATCTGCCCTCCTTGAATCTTTCAGGTTGCAAAAGCCAATTTCCCTCTGAGAATGACTTGTTTTTCCCATTGCATATTATTCTGAATGTGAATATTACTGGAGCTTGTTTTCAACTGATAAACCTGTATAACTTACTCAGGTAAGGTTTATGTACTTGAAGGTTTCTTAAAAAGTAGTTTGGGTAGGGGTTTCTGCTTTGGCTTCCTACAAAAACGATCACAATATGTGGAATCATGACTTAAATCAGAGGTAGATTTTTTATAGAACAGTGAATTGAAGGGAACAGCGTTAGTAATAATACATAATTATACAGGGAACATCCAACAATGAGTACAGCTGAGTGCATCCCGACAGATACAACAGATATATTTATCATTAAATTTTCTGGAATTAGTCCGTGGCTGAACTGATTCTGATATCCAAGAGTGATTTTAATGCCGACCGAAAGAGCCTCCCTTACTCTATCCCGAAAAATGCAAGTCACCATGAATAACATGGAACTTAGAAAAAGGAATTTATCAGCATCGGTAGTATAACATCCTTCAAAAACGGAGACGTCATAAAGCCTTGGCAAAGGCCAGGATCAGAGGTTTACAACAGAAGAGTCGAGAAATAGAGAAACGTGCATTTGTGCGCATTAGTTTTTATTTACCCGACTAGCTGTTTCTTGAACCTTCTGACGAAAATAATTCCCACTATACACACCTTAAAAATAGTTCAGAGCAGAATGAGTGAGGCGGTGTCACGAAAAGGCCATAGGATCGGAATTTCTAGGGCCCTAGTGCGCTTTACTCATTCAGTGGTTGATTGCCTTTACCTTATGAAGCGGATTTCTGCTATCTAACCATCTAAAACACTTGTTTATCTATCAGCTAAGATCCATCACAACTGAGAGACGCGAAAAGAAAAAAGAAAAAACTCTACAAAATGAAATCGGCGAAGAAAGGGTAAAACTCACCAGCAACAGCGCCCCCAAAAGCGGCGAAAATACCGGCAACTGTGAAACCCGCAACGAACCCTACAGGGCCACCCATTGCAATACTACCAACAGTTGCTGGTATACTTGATTGTTTGTGCGTCTTGAGCTTTTTTCAAATTTTTTGAGCTTTGCGGACATTTACCTGAGCTTTTTCGATGTGTTCTTCAATACTGTCAACGACATCGTGCTGTATCTAAAAGCAAGATTTGACTTTAATTAAATTTTGTTAAACTGAGTAAACACAAATAACAATGTACAGAAACCATCAAAATAACATGGAGGATGGGTATCATCCCGACAAGTCTGATTGCTTTTCATTGGCTTAAGACGGATCTTGCTTTGAAATATATCATTGTCACATGCGATCACTCGAATTTCTCCTATGATTTCATTTAACTAAAAATATTAGACTCGTGCTTACATGAACAAGCTGAGCAAGTTGCATCATCATTTCATTCAAATCTTCGGCATCCTAAAACAAAAGATCAAAGGCATCTGTCTAAGCAGTGGGTTGATTTTTTCGTGGTATTCCTACTGTTATGAAATTCATATTACTACGACCACGCAGATACCAAAATTAGCTCATACACGCTAATTTTTTCACTTTTATGGCATTTGTCTTAGCTTCTTTTGCTTGTAAAAGCAATAGGTTTATTCTTATTTGTTTCTCTTCTTGCAATTCGTCTCCCTGAAAAGATATATACATATAGCACGAAAACTCCATAGACTCAATAATAAATAAGATCAATAACTTAGAGATAACAACGTTTGAGTCAGACAAAAGCTTTCCTCTCCGTTCTCAGTAACACGAGATTTTAAGTAATCAAAGAAACTTTTGCTGTTTCAGCCAACAAAGACTTCTCATACAAGTCATCATAAATATTCGTCCATTCTGGTGTTTCAGCAGCAGCAATTTCATTCAGCGCATTGATAGCTCCCTAAACTTGAATTCGGATTATTTCAATACGAACATCGAAACGCTCCCGATCAGTTATCAGTTACACTTGTATGAGATCGCACAATCAGAACCTGTTGCAAATTACCCAACAATTGATCAATCTTTTGTGAAGCAGCTCGCATGTTCTTGGAGCCCAACAGTGAGCCGTTCTGGAAAAAAAAAAAAAACTCGAAAGACGCCATAGCTAACACAGATGATTTTTTGTTTCAGGCATTGATGGAATTCATTCTGAAAATGGTTTCGTTTATAGCAGCGAATCAGTCTGACATTTCAAACTCCAAACTCCACATATGGTTATAACTAAAAATACCCTTTACTAAGGTACGGACATTCAAAATAGTTAACCTCATCAATATCCAGAAGAAGTAACTGCAACTCATGAAGATTCAGTCTAGTTACGCGTTCAAACCGTTCAATAATTATCAAAGTTCGAGACCAATTCATATTTCTGAAATAGAAGAACTGCCACATACCCCCACTCATTTCAAACCACTGCCCAGTCATCATCCTAACTCCCCACTGTAGGTTTGCCCATTATCTATCCAAATCAACATATCACGCAACTATCGCCACAAAGCGAACTCGCTTCAAACATTATTTCCTCGCCACTTTTTGCTGAGATTTCTTTTTAACATTATCGCCACTACCCAAATTGTTGACGTACCAATGAATTAAAAGCGAGCCTTATTAAAACAAATTTTCCAACTGTGTTATACAACCAAATTATATCTTCTGCCTCATTTTACACGAATATTTTCAGAGAGTAATTTACGTCACAGTAGTAACTAAATTCAAGTTTGGAATACATTCATAAACGAAACAAAGGTGACAAACTCGAAAAATAATTTTTATTTAAGTTTTGTACAATCAGTCACAAATACTGGAAACAGTTAACAGCATTTGCTCACACTGACGAATTTTTTTACTTCTTTGACAAATTCTCTGAAATTAGAAAACAAAATCAAATTTCGAACCAAATATTATTTCATGAAATTTAGACCATAAATCATTTGTATCACTAAATTGAAGAAAGCAACGGGACTGCAAGGGAATTTTGCAATCGGGTAATTATGTAAATTCTAACAGTAGAACAAGAAATTTTTAAACTGAGGTGGAAAGTATAACGATAAGCTTAGTTTATCAAATTCTTCATTTTTATTAAAAACAGCAGGAATAACCTATTATTTCTATGTTCTTCGGCAACTTTCCCTAACAAATCGTTGAAATTTCGTAGAGCAATACGTGTGCTATCTTCCCTCCATGACGCTGGAACCAACTTCATCAAAGCTCGACATTTCCGGATCATGGACTGATCAGATATTGCTGCGCATTGTAAAGCGGGCATCATTCGGTTTACGATACCATCCAGAATCAATTCTCGCATTTTTTCCTCAGATAAAACTCCAGAGAGACAGTTCAGACAACGAATAAGCTGTAACTTACCAGCCATGAATAACGAACTGGTCCAAAGAAAACAACCAGCTCTATGTTTTAGGATTGTCAGAAATAAAACTTACAATTAACTTCTTTTAATAAACCCTGACATCTAACGATATTAGATTGCCTCAACCATCAGCAAAACAAGAAAGCGAACCTTAACAGAAGTCCAAGTTTGTCGATCCAAGAATGCCTTACAGCCGGTGGCAAGATTTTCAACAGCTCTGCAAAATATTCGAAAATTTTTAAAAATGCACTTGGATCTGAGTAACAAATTAACAGATTAGTCAAATAAGAATGTACTGCTTCGAATAAATGGGAACAAATAAATCTTCATCGATAGCATCCTGAGCTCGCAGACATATAGTCTGTAAAAGTTTTTGCACTGGCCGACTATTTGGTACTAGCGTTGGACACTCATCAATCAGCTGATTGAGCAAAAAACCCAGATTTCGACACTGGTGTTGCGATAGAGGGTCCCAGCGCTCACGGATCAGATCTGAAAATAAGTAAGCTTGAATGTATCATCCCTAATCTGTAATCAGTTTGTAACATTACCAGAAAAATAACGAACTTCCATACTTCCTAAACAATTTTAATTACGTGGCATTCATAAACCGAAATCCTTAATACATAAATGTTCAGTAATAAGAGCCTGAATAGGGAAATTATGTTACTTTCCAATAGCTTTTTAATTCTGGCCTTCTCTATCTCTCTCTTCTCTCTTAAAAATAAAAATATAATATGCAATTCTGTTCATGCGAGAAACTTCTGAAAAGCCCATTTTGCAAAGTGTAATTTATTCAAATATTATGAAAAATTCTTTAAACCTATTTTTAGCCACTTTCAATTTATTATAAAAGTGAATATACAGACTATGTCTAGCAGCCAAAGTACAACAACATTTGGAACTTAAATCGACATTAAAAATATGCTCTTCCAGCTAGATTTTACAGGGACTTTGTCAAGTAGCAACAAATATCATTCAATATAAATAGCACCTGTAATTTTCCATAAAAGAACTTTCTCAATGCAGAGAGGTACAAATGAGGAAACGACAGGGTGTTCAACAATAATATTAGAGCTTGTTGCGGCACATGTTATCAAATTTTCGTACCAGCGCATCGAATTCACTGGACGACTGTCATTCTGGAAATAGAAAATTTATAATACAGAGGGAGAAGATGAAGAATTCAAAACACAACACACCAAAAACTGCATAGTTGTGCACTTCCATGAAAAAATTATACAACTGCACACTTTTGCATGCAATATTTCGCATTAATGAATTACGCAAGCAGCTTATATGGCAACAGAAAGTCTTGCAGAATATCGCTGCAAATTCAAAAGATAAAGAAAAAAAAAGAAGGAAAGGGTAGAAATATTAGAAATATTTTAGTAGAAATATTTTAGAAATATTTTTCAAATATTTTTAGAAATATTTTTCAGCAGTTGATCCTTGTCATTCTAAATTAGAAAACCTAAAAATTTTGGGAAAAAATACCTCAAGTGGTCCCCAATCAATAAGTTCCAAGCGAATAAATAATGAGATAAGCTTTGGAATACATAGCTGAATATAAGCGTTCGTGAAGGATTCCTCGTCATGTACTAACCAATCAACAAATTTTGATAGAATTCGATCGATACGACAAAAATCATCAAGTGCATCAACGAATACGACATTCGCTGCTGCACGGATTTCATCTGTAAAATGAGATTTTTATTAATTCCCAAGCATTTTCTGAGAAAATTCTCGTTCTTTTGAATACACCAAATGCATTGTAATACAAACCGATCGATTGTTGGCGAGCCACAATCTCACTATTTGTTTCTTCATCATCTGTACTTAAGCCTTCTTCATGTGAAACACCTTCTAAAGTATTCTCACGCATGCGACGGCGGCGCGACCTGAAAAAAAAAAGCGTCGTTGTCTTGATCTAACATGAATGTTACAAATCTTACCTTCTTGCTTCGCGTTCTGCTGCCCTTTGGCTGATTTCGGGAGCTCGTTGGTGCAATGGTCGACCAGCGGCAGCTGCTGAGCATTCATCATACATATCATGTACATCATTTCTTCTTCGTGTTCGAAGTCTTCGAGCCCGCCCATCTAGAATCTCTGCCATTCGATTTTCCAAATCTTTAACTTCGCCTATCTGAAATACAAAAGAAACAGCTAACCTCTACCTAAGTTTTTTTTTATCAAAATTTGCAAGTTGATACTATTATACACTTGTCAAAAAGTTGCTTATGAAATTATTTTGAAAGCATTTACTTTATCTGACAAACATTCCAACAAATCCCTGGTGTATGCCCGCATATCCTGATAAACCTGGAAACGTTCCCTGATCCGCGGTTCTTCCATCTCAAGCTTGCCAATCATTTCCTTATTTTCTTGAATCTGCATGTTTATCTTTTCATACTCCGCTTCACGAGCATTTACTGATTCCTTGCCATCTTTCTTGCTGCAATATTCTAGTCCCAAGCACTGTTGAGAATATCATATGGCAAGATCCATCAATGAATCGAGATTTAAAAATGATTTGAAACATAGTGAACTTACCGCTGCTGCAATTTTGAAAGAATTTCCTTGAGTGATACAGTTGTTGTTTGACCAGATACTAGTCCGGCTGAAAGAGAACTGACTGAAATAAATTGAAAGACTTTCCAACTTGTTTTAGTACAGTCGAAAAAATCTTGATGTAAAGAATAAAGAAGTACCCAATAAAGAATCAAATCTTCCTCATTTAATGAAAGAATAGAGTAACTGCTACACAACCAGTAAAAAATATTGATGTATGCCAACCCTGCGACACTGAAAGCATATCAGTTTCAGCAAAATCTATATCCATTTCCATCGGCAACTGCTCCCGATTTTCGGATGGGAATTCCATACTACTTCTTATCGCTTTCATCACTGCTTCCATTCTTGCACGTTCACGTTCCAACATTTCCACCTTAATTTCATGTAAATGATAAAATTCCGATTTCATGATAATTTTTTATAACTGTGCTGGTAATTTCAACAACTTCCTATTTCAGAAGAAGTAGTTCATGACTTAGTGTTACAGACACTACCTTATGTGATGATACTCCTTTCTTCATCTGTTCTCTTTCCCATCGTGTTACTTCCTCATCCGACTGTTCACGATCATTATCACTACCTATAAAATAATGGAAATAGTAAGAAAAAACTGAGACTCATCTCACTGGAACAAAGCCATTTGATCAGATATGGACGTCTTGAACATACATGCTTTATGGAAAATGGAAACCTGAACGACGCTTACGCCTTGTTTCTGTTTGTATATTCAAAAACTATTACCTCCTCCTTCATGAGCGAGAAACTCCATATGTTCATTTCGGCGTCGTTCATCATCATCAGCCGCCAAACCTTTTAACGAATAAAATCTGTAAAGAAGAAAATAATGATTCAATTCTAGACTTCAGAAAGTTTTTTCCGATTTGGATCTGCTGATAAAAATCAGAACGTTTGGTTACTTAGTGTTTTCCTATCCGAATAAAATCTGATTTCGTTCCATCTCCTTTAATCCCTCAAAAAACAGAAATTGCTTACCGATGATGACGGTTCCTCCAACAGTAATGATAGGATTGTTTTTACATGAATCTTTAAAGAAATAACTGACCTTCCACCTTCTGGGTCTTCATCACTTAGATCGTTTTCATCTTCACGTATTAACCGTGATCGTGCAACGGATTTATCCTCCAATTGGTTTATTCAGTTAAATAACACAACCTCAGCAACATTAGAAAATGATATACACTTGGAAATTCCACTGCTGCATACCTCGTATATTGAGGAAATTACTTACTATGGAAAAATTGTGATTAAAACAGTAAGAAGAATAGTGTGTTATTAAGGAAGTATTGGTGAATTAAAACTTCGATGCTTTTTTATAAAAATTAGTATACCTCACTTGGATCTCTTTAATTATCTTTTTGATATCAATAACTTAAGCCTCAGAAGTTGAAAATGACATAAAAATTAGCGAAAGAAAAGAATTTATTACAGTTACCTTCAGCCGTTGCACGTCATCTAGTGGAATTTGTCCATTAGAACCGACCAAACGCATTTTCTCTCGTTTCTTTCGCGCTTCATAAACAGTCTTCGCATCCGGAATTTCTCCTAGAACTTCGTTACTATGAGAGAATTGTGATTAAAACGGTAAGAGAAACTGAGTTACAATCGAGAGATAAGTTATAAATATTACAATTTCGAACCTCGAAACGCAGATGGAAATTTACTTCTTATGACCGAATCCTGCACCAAACCCGTTTCCTCTAGTTCGGATTCATTCTTCGTTTTCCATTGTTGACTGCTGTGAGTCTGACATGCAACAAATTTTTGATTTGAATATAAATTTACCCAAGACCTCCAAAATTGTAACAATTAAGCTAAAAACATTGGTGAAAACGTAAACAGTCTCAAGAAAAAACATACATTAACATTTCCGACTGAGGGTTCATTCGTTTTTACTTCTTGCTTAATTTGTTTGACAACTACTCTGGTTTCCTGCTCCGTAATTTCATCCTCAACTTTTTGCCGCAATTTTGCTCTTTTTGTCACCTTCTCTAAACGCTTGCTAGGATCTTTCCGTTTGATTTTGAAGTCTGTTATGTCATCGCCTGAAAGATCAGCACTGAAGTAAAAAGTAAGAAATCAAGGTTTTTAATAAAGCAAAACAGCTGATTTCTGTGGAAAAATCCTGCCAACAAAAAACGTCTCTTGTATTCCAGATTCGGTGGAAGGACAAGCTTCAGGTGGGCTGCTCAAAGCTCAAAGGAAATTTTTATCTCTACAATTAAGTCATAAATTCACACTGTCTGGACAAAGTCAAACACAAGAAATGAATAATAGGTAATCTAGAAATCCAATTTTCAAACAGTCTAATTCTAGTCATTACAGTATTTATTCCAGTTAAGGTAAATTATAATGCTAGAAGTGTAACATGCTACCAACAAACAACGAATTTGTTGCGTTTTTCTTTTTTGGTTGCAGCTTCGTTGAAAATCTACCGACCTTCAAAATCATCAAAACTGAGCAAGTGGTGCTCCTCTGTTAGCACACCAGCCTGTGGTTCTTGGTTCCCTTCTGCTTTATTCACCTTTTCCACGTGCTGCTGTTGTTTGATCGTCTTACTGACTGATATCCCTTTGATTGTTGATACTACTGACGTTCCGGAACTAACGCCACCACTTCCATTACCACCACCACCACCATCATCACCATCATCATCATCATCATCGTCCGACAGTACTCGTTGACGAAGATTACTACGGTTTTTCACTTTTCGAAACATTTTTCTCAGTATGAAAAGTATAGCTTGGGTAAAAAAATCGACTCAAACTGAAAAAAATTATAGCTTGGATAAAAACTGGTTCAAATTGAAAGTGCTCTGAGTTCGTTTTAATTAAGTTATGGCCTAATAAAAAGGCTTCCGTGAAGTGCCAACATAATAATAAACATTAAGCTTAAAAAATCTTCCAACAACTCTGACCTTCAACGAATGCTTTCAAGATATGGAATCATCATGTCGAGTACAGTTAAAAGACTTAAACTATACACTTGCCAACGGAGTACCTCGGATTTTAATTGGAACCACTAATTTATGAGACGTGTTTATTAGTCAATGTTTGTTTAGCCCTTGCTAAAAGTAGCGGAAAAATGCAGCGTCATTGAAGCGGAAAGGAAACGAAGTGAGGCAGAGGCTTAAAAAAGTATAAAAGAAGACAGAGTGTTAGCAAAGGTTGGGAGGATATCTAAATAATAATGCTACATCACTATGTTACCTAGTAAAACAAGGAAGAGAACATGAGAAACGTCACCAACTCGATACATAAATTAAACACGAAAGATCAGCAGATCTACAAATCCGAAGGTAAGAAATCTTCACTGTTAACTGTGATGTTGAAATTAACGCAGGTACGATGTGCAATTGTAATCTCAGGAGCAAACTGTGTCAAGCTGGGACGTCGTTGCTTCTATGTATGGTACTATGACGATCGATTTCGAAAATCGAAGGATTTTATAATACGGTAAATATATCGCTGCTGGAAAGCTGTAAACATACCCATAAACTCTAGAAATTGGAGATAGGGCACTCACGATTATCAACATCTTCATCCTATTGCATCAAACCTTTTAATCTATACTGCTATCATTCTCCCCAATTTTTAGTTGAGCTTTTTTTATATATCAACAACAAATCAACTTTACCTGTCACGAATGAACGCGAAATTCCGTGATAAGGAAAAATATAAAGAATCATAAGTGAATGTGCGGATGATGTACTAATTTCGATATATTAAGTTGAATTGTGACTAAAAAAAAACCATCCAAAGTCTTTACCGTATGAGTGGGGCGATATCATTGCATAGAATTTTGTATATGTGCTTTCTGTTTAGCAATATAGACTAAAAGCCCTATACTAATGTGTGCTTTTTGTTAACAAAATGCTTCAACCACATGAGCTAACAAAGGCGCTAATTCTTGTAATCATCGCAGGACTAATCCTTGAAGGATGTACATATAAGTCCTGCAGATAGTAGGAGGACATTCTTCTTTTTTTTTTTTAATTCTGCAGATTGGTGTCTTCGAAAATGGCGACGTTCGTTTGACCACGTTTTTGGAATTAGTTTTGTGCGTTAATTTGTGTTTTGTAATTCTCAGTGATTATGCTACACTAAATTATTTCATTTATCTAATGGTTTATTTACCCAGTTATGAGGTGGAGGTTAAAAAAAAATTTGCAACTCTGCCATTTGCGCAAGATACTTCCAAAAATACAAAAAATCTCCACTTTATCTGTACATCTCATATTGAAGCTCGACAATCAACTAATATCACGATAATCAAAGCAAGGCCTTTGAATCAACCATTCGATTTGATGTATGGACCAAATTACTCAGCCTTGACCTAAGTTTAGTCTTAATAGTGATCTTTAAAAGAGCCGTTAAGAAAGAAAGGAAATTTGAGGGTATGATGCTATTTGTGGCATGCATTCATATGTTCGAAAGGTAAAGGGAGCCAGGTACATAAGACGAGCAAATTAAACAGCTGAACCAGAAAAGGAATTGATGAGCTCATTAACACATCGAAATTCTGTAAGCTTTTGGCTCACTGAGAAACTATAACCAGAGAAAAGGGAGGGAGGATGAAATTAACATCTGTACAGAAGTGATGAGTTAAAGGATGAACTAATAAGGACCTCATCACAACTACTTGTAACTTGGTTGTCATTACTGGATAAAATGAATGCTTGATTGACTTTCTTTTCATGTTCTGTGAGGAGTGAAAAACTAAATGGAACATTAACCAAACAAATATTATCATCATAGTAGTGGTGACAACCGGAATGGTCACGGTTATAGAGTTGAAGTTATCGACTGAACTATTTTCTCGTTAATGAAGGCATTGAGAGAAAAGCAAGCAGAAAGAACTGATGGTTTTGACAACATTTATTTATATCATATTTTCCAGAGGTGCACTTCAAAACAGCCACAAAGTATTTGGCTTGGCCATTGAATTGTAGAATAGAAATCCTAAATGACGTTCAGTATCATCTAATGACAGAGCAGCCTTGAAACTAGTTATCGGCATATATGGGACCACTTTATTTTGCTTCAAATATCGTATCTGTGCGTTTGTGATTGAACAAATTTTTGGCCAAGGGTTATCCTATAGAGCTATTTAATGGCTGTAATTTTTCTGTACTGAAAAAAGAACTTGATATTTTGAATTGGTGTCTTTTATCACTGTATGGATAAAAAAAGATTCTGGTATGAAACATTCAAAAGATGTTATGCGGAAATGACACAGAATATATGCACAGCGAAAGGAGGAAAGCATCATTACGCAATGATAAAAATATTCAATATAGTTTAGTCTTAACCTTTGGCTAAAATGCCTTTTTCATAATTTCCTTCAAACGTTCAATGTTGAACAAATCATTCATTCATGAGTCATTTATTGCTTTGGTAGATATTGCTGCAATTTGAAATTGCTTAAACTAGCGATCAGAAAATAGTGCAGTTGCAAAGTGAATAAAGAATGATACTTATGTAATAGTAGGTCGGTAATAAAAGCCGTATATGCTTTAAAATTGCATATTATTCGAAAATTCTTTGATGAGGATTATCCACTATCATCTAGTTTTGGCACATTTGAGCTCTTCCTCGAGGCGTGACAATTTACGGATACCATATCAAAAAGGGATAACGATTGCGGAAAACAACAACTAGCAATCAATTGGTTCGTAGGGATAGAAAATAAAGTGGATCTGAGTCCTGTAGAATGGAAACCTAGAAATGACTTGGAATTTCGCGAAATACACTACTCTGCAGAGTGATACCTAGCTCATTCTAGTAGTCATCTGCAAAATATTGTATTTCAATTATGAAAGCAATCATATATATTAGCGATGGAGAAGTGGGACGACAGCTATTGTGCAATTCTGACAATTTCAAAGTCAAATTTTTTTTCCAGTACACAGAAAAGCCAGCCATTATCGCAGCCAAGACATTTGGAATCGAAAATGATCGAAGCAGCTAAAAGATTTTTTGAAAATGAAATTTCGAAGAGAAGAAAATTGATGCCCACTTTTCCCTGATGTTGCTAATCATCATATAATAGTGAAGCTTTTATACTTGATTGCAAGAAAGGTTTGTCATCCCGGATTTTTTGCTAGACTATCTACTTTAGACGCAGTAAATTCATAATGGAGAATTGTGTTCATTTCCCCATTGATCGATGTGAATTAATTCATACTGAGAATAAATGATCACTTAGAACTTGTTTACAGTATAACCTCCTTTAAAAACTAACAATGGGAAGGAATATTCGAATTGCTTAGCTTATAAAAGTTGGTGGTGTAAGTTTGCAATTTTTATGCTAAGGTTATCAGGAAAGTAATATACAATAGCTTTCTTGTTTCAAACTTTTTAGAAGATCAGAATTTCAACTGCTGGTTGTGTTTACGCTGCTATGGCTAGCAATTTGATGTTAGCCGTAATAATCATTGTATGTATTACTTTCCGGTACTGAACTTGGGATAACGATGATGAACGTGATTGAAATGATAATGATTTCGTGATAATACTGATACCCATTACAGCAAGTTCCATACTAGTAGTAATATAGACACAGAGAAAAGTACGATTTCAATTTCGTTTCCTGATTAACAAATGTAGTAATTGGCAATACCATAGCAACGAAAGTAAGCAGCAGGTGCGCTAATCCCTTCCCATGGTAGTAATTACTGAGTACCTCACTGCATCAGTGTCCTAGTAGCTGCATTAAGTTTCTTTTCAGTGAAAAATCAATCAGCAGTTTTTGAAAAGTTTTGAATTGCTGCTCCAAAACTTCAGGCATGCCACGGAGTGGGAAAATGGTAACTTTTTTAAAACTCACGGTATCATACCATTATTAGTATTAAAATATTAAATAAGCTAATTGTTGCATTGGTTTTTCTCAAACCTAATAACTTCATCTTTTGGATGCTCCAACCAGCTTTGCACATGAAAACATTCTACTTTATTTTTGTTCCCAACAACGAAACGAAATATTATTAATCTCGATGAAACTCTAAGGTCACGTGCTTCTCAACTTTACTTTATTCTTCCTCTTTCCTCCTCACTTCCAATCTCTATCATCTCTTGTGATATGAAAATGAAGAAATAATTAACAATGACTTCATCATATCATTAATTCTCCATTATGTTTACTTTTCACAAATACCACTTGCGAGGTAAATTAC